CTCTGATCCTCCCTGTTATTACAAGCATAAATAGCATAAAAGAAGAATTGAAGATCCTCATTCTTCAACAAACAAGAAACATGCTGATCAGTCTTACAAACTTCCTCAACCTGCCAAAGAACTCTACTAAAAAAATCAAATTTTCTCATTGAAAGCCTCAGACTAGTTAGAAATGACATTCCAACCACTAAACAACCCTTAAAAAACAATTGTAACACTATCCTCCTCAACATGAGTTTCAAGCAAGCATAACATCTTAATCCCCAACTTTCTAGCTAATTGCAAGTACATTTATGTTTGATAAACTATTGTAACTTTTTACATTCCAAGTTAAGATTATTGTCAAGTGGAGAAGCACCGCCTCTCGAACGACCCTTACCATATTTTTTCTTATTTGCATCTCCCCTTATCCTTGGGCTTCAATTAATGCATTAATTTAGCCTCCCTATCCACAACAACCCTAGTTTTCTGAGAGGAAAATCACAATCTTAGGAACATCAGGCAAAATAGAAAACTTATTTGGACTTCTCACTTGACCAGCATCATCACCCTGAATAGAAGCACCAGAGCACCCAATAGATTTTGCATCATGCCCATCACCCATAAATGCGATTAAATCCTCCTAAATAATCATTTGTCTAACAACAACAAAAGCATTACTATCATTTGAGCCAACCCTATCAGTCAAAACCATCTCATTATCAATAATAACAACATGCAACTCCCCCTCCACCAAAAGATCATCCACGATCTGTTTATTCCTCCTAATATCACAATCAGATAACTTAACCTCAACATTCTTATTTTTACATTGCTCTCCTAAATGACCAAATATATTACAACGATCACATCATAAAGGAGCCCACACTAACTTCACGCCAACAACAACCTTATTCCCCTCACTAAGTTCTACCATGACAGAACTAGGAAGCTCAATCTTGCCCTCAGTATCAATACAAATCTTAACAAAATCAAGTTGTTGCTTTATTGCAGTAGAACGATCATAATACAAAGACCTACTAATCGCACATACAATATAACCAAGCCCAAGGTAAGAGTACAACTTCAAAGGCGCATGCCAGAGCTTAAACCAAGCTAGAGCAGAAACAAGACTAAGCACCTAAAGGATCACCCAGGCACTCATTTCCTCAAAATAATCGCATTCTGTTGAATATTCCAAGGGTCAGACTCTAACACCCAGTCTTGAACACAATTAGAAAAATATTAAAAATTTACACGCTAGGCGTAAAAAAATTAATCTCAATAGAAGCCTATCCCCCCATAATTTGTTCATGGTTTTTTAAAAAACACTAAGAATAGGATATTTATCCAAAAAAAAAAAATTAATAGAGCCTTCTCTCACTACCTACACCATCTAGCAACGCCTCATGAGGAGGCTTCACCGGAACATTTTCATCTTGTTCAATTGAAGGAAAATAACTCAAAGACTGATCAAGAAATAAAGATTTCACTCCTATCTGACTCAGGAAGAACAATCCCAACACCAACATTTGCTCCCAACGACGACGAAAAAATCTTCAAATCCAAATCTCCAAAGTCACAAACAGTCGAAGTACAACCCACAGAAGACATATCCATCATGAACCAAACCCCGTAGGTTATCCCCAATCACAATAATATATAAAATGAAATCGCAAACAAGGACAGACGGAACAAGAAACCAAACGTAAAATCAAAGAAATATGATTAAGAAAATCAACTGCGAACACAAAAACCTAAAAACCCATTAGACTAACAAACGTACAGCTATAGAGAACCGATAACGTGGCCCATCCCGATATAAACGAGTGATTGAACGGGTATAATCTAAAATAAGAATCATAATTTCATGATATGTTACAATTAACGCTATCATAAAATATAGTTTATTATGCTCGTGAAAATTTCTCTTCTCTGAAACCCTGCTTCTCTTTCCAATCGACGACTCCATTGGGTTGTGTCATCTGTGTCCTCTTCTGAGTCATGGTTCGTTTCAGTAACGTAAGTAATAGCTTGCTCCCATATTTTTAGCTGTTTGATTCTATTGAAATTGAGAACTATAGTAACGAACTATGAATTTCGGCATTATTTTTGTTCAATTTTAGGGCTTGTTTTTAGGTTGGCTTGGTTTAATCATGTTCTTATAACTGAATTTTTTAAAACAAAACAGAGAAAGAAGAAGGTTTTCGTGAAGCTCATTGCGAGAAAGAACCAGCAACAACAATCAATTGTGGACCATATCACAGGGAATAAAATCTCAAAGAGTTTTGTGTTTTCGAGAGGGAAGCTTCCCGGTCCGCTTATGCAACTTCAAATGGACTTGAGAAGGTTTATGCTTCCTTATACTGCTCTCAGTCTCAAGCCAAGGTAATTCTTTCTTTCTCTTTTTTTTATCTTTCTTTAGAAACTGAAAATTTGTTGTTTTATAAGTTTTTTTTGGGTCTTTGTTGTTATTTAATTGTTGCAGGAGAAGAAAAGGAACAAATTGAAAGACTTTTTGAATGTTGCAGGGCCAATGGGTGTAACCCATTTCCTCATTCTGTCCAAAACTGAAACTTCGTCTTCACCTTTCCTTAGGGTTGCATTGCAAAGACTCCTCAAGGTCCTACTCTTACATTTAAAATACACGAGTATTCGTTGTCTGTTGATATCGCTCAATCTCAATTGCGCCCTCACGATGTTTTAAAAATCCTCCTTTGGTCAGTTCTAATGGAACTTCTTCTGTTATTGTATTTCTTAGCTGCTTGTAGAACCTTTTTTACGTTAGAAATATGTGGGGCTGTTATAAGCCAAATGCTGGTGTGTTTTTTGCATTGAAGCATAACAAGGGAGAGGAGGAAACCTTAGTTTTGGCTTAAAAATTTTGCTCAAATCATTCAAGTTTATGTCTCAAGTTCAAGTTGTATATGGCACTTTGTAGTATTAATTTTGAATATATCTTGGGCAGATTGTTCTATCTGGCTTTGCAGCAGGAGATGAACATTTAAAGCTCACGACTACGATGTTTAAGAACATCTTTCCAGATATTGATATCAACTCCGTGAGTGCTTGGTTGGACAGTTTAAATTTTAGTATCCGACCTGACTTCACTTCTTTTCTACTTCCCTTTGTAACTTTGTCTCAACATGAATATCTCAGGTTAAACTTTCATCTTGCCAGAGAATCGTGTTGCTTAATTACAATAAAGACACAAAGCTTATTGATTTTCGACATTATTCTATCACACTACAGCCTGTTGGTGTCTCCCGTAGAATTCATAAATTAGTGCAGAACCATCAAGTACCTAATCTTAGGAATCTTCAAGATGTGAACGATTTCATCACTGAGTATCATTATGAGCTATACATATTTATAGTACTGTCCTCATGAATGGTATACTCTTTGCAATTTGTTTAGTTCTACTCACACCTTTGATTTGTTATATGAAGAGCGGGTTATGGATCAGAAAGTGAAGCAGACGAGGAAGCAGCAACAGTTACTCTGACTAGTGATCTTAGTTGAGTTAATCGCACTTCAACAAAAAGTGCTGTCAAGCTTCAAGAAATTGGACCTAGAATGACTCTCCAAATCACTAAAATCGAGGGTGGACTATGTTCTGGGGAAGTTATGTTTGGTGAATATGGTATGTTCATCCATCTTAGCAAGTTTTATCATAAGTACTAAGAAAAATCTGTTAACCCACAAAAGAAATAGGAAGTCTAACCTTTTCTTCTGCATGCTAGATTAGTCACTGAGATATTTCAGATTATAAGTTAATCCGCCCTATACAGTAACATTCTTCATCTATCATTTTATAAACTATTCTCTATTTATCAGGAAATGGTGGCAATAAGAGAAAGGCAGGCAGTGAGGAGGGTAATGAAAAGGAAGATGGTGAGAACGATGACGAAATGGAAGGTAGTGATAAAGATAACGAAGGGGAGGATAATTAGAGATGGGCATGGGACCTAAACCCGACTGGTTTCGACCGACCCGATCTTTTAAAAAAAATTTGGAGTCGGCTCTGGCCGGGTTTTTTTAAGTGTGATGTTTGGATCGGGTCGGGTTTAAGGTGAAAAATACCCGACCCGAAAAATATATAATTTTACCTTATATATTTAGGAATAATTACAATAATACCCCTCTATATATAAATTTTTTCAATTAAGTCATTGTTTTTATTGAATAAAAATAATATTTTTATTATTATTTCGGGTCGAGTCAGATTTCTAAGTTATATATCGGGTCGGGTTCGGGTCAGGTGAACTTTTTTTTTTGGTCGGGTCGGCTTGGGTCTCGGGTGGAGGCTTCCTTGTTCTCGGGTCGGGTTGGGTCTCGGGTGGAGGCTCCTTTGTTCTCGGGTCGAGTCGGGTGGACCCAAAACCCGACCCATGCCCATCCCTACGGATAATGAGCAAGATATAGAAGAAAGCGAGGAAGATGATGAAGAAGATTAATAATGATTTGGTAAAGTGGAAGGATACAACTTCCATATTCTCATTAAAATGACATGAAAATTGTATAATTAGCTGTGTTTATTTACATGAGAAGGTGCTCGCCTAGCAAGAGATAACGTCCATTACAAGAGGATCATGATGAGGTTTCGTCCAGTTGGTCTATCTTCTTGCTTTTTTACTTTCTGCTTTGTGATTTCCTCCTGATTTTTTTTAAAATTGTTGTAAAAGATCCACAGATTTTGACTTTTCTAATATGTATGTAGGTTTGTGTGTATTAAGAAATCTTTTACTAACTGATGCGTTGCCAATGAAGTTCACAAACTCTATAAAAAATGTCTTCCCATGTTCCACAAACATTGTGAGTACATTTTCAGAAAGACTAAGGTATTGAATTGAACACGTGATATGTCGTTCCCCTTTAGTGCACTAACCATTTATCTTATTTTCTAAAATCCAGTGTGCATTATAAGGCAGTTCTTTTTTATCCACACGAGAAATTTAAACATAGATAAGTGGTAGATCACTACATCAGGACGTAACAAGAGAAGGAATTAAAGCATTAGCTGCAATCCAAATCAAGTATTTATGGATCTCGTGGTCTGCCTCGCGGCCAAATTCTACCATAATTTACAAAATTTGATTAAGTTTAGCGGTTCTTGTAGTTTACTTTTCATGCCAGTCTAAAGTCGGAGCAATCCTTTGAAACAAACACGTGACAGACCAACTGAAATGCATTTACAACCAATCAAAAGGTTGATGCCAGACCGGTTACCAGAACCAGTGCTAGGAGACTCTTGTAACGGTTCAGAAATGAGGTAATCACTCTCTTTCAAAAGCAATGTAATTATTTGGATAAGAGCTTTCTGCATTGTCCTGATGAGCCTGATTAAGGATAGACATAGAAGCCACCGATTTGATCAGGTTGGGGGACTGCTGGGGTCATTGGGGCCATACCTCTTACACCAGGAACTACGGGAGCAGGCACGCCAGGCCGATTGAAGCGCTGTTGATGGAAACGATGTTGATGTCGATAGTAGGCAAGCGATGGCCAGATTCTGTCATGCATATGAGCACCACCGCCCGGGTAACGATCAAAAACTGAAGAGACGAACGAACTCCCACCTCTAGAACTGGACCTATGAAAAGTAAACAACTATTTAGTGTTCCAATGGTCAACAACATTTCCGATAAAAGAAAATCAGGCAAGTTTTTCCAATCATGTTGGGTATTTTGGCAACATAATTTTGTTTGTCATGTTTCAATAATAGCTGACGATAACATCAGATATATAACCAAGCTTATCTCAGCTGGCATGGCACTTACCCATGTTCAAAGGGAGAATGATGCCAAAATGAGCTGGGTCTAGTTGCAGCATCAAGTTCAGCATTAGAAGATCTCAGAGCTGCAGCTGGAAGAGAAGTAGGATCAGTATTGCTGATATGGCTATTGGATACAGGGAAATTTGGAGAATGGAGGCCCCAACTATGATGTTGGATTCTAATGGTGGGCAAAGCATAGAGAATGAATATCTCATTGTGTCCAGTGAGGGTGTTCCAATGGAGATTAAAGTTGGGATCATCAACGCTATCACTATTTCTTGTAGTGGATGATGAAAGTGATCCAACATATGAACAAGCCACAGATGAAGAAGCAGCGTGTTCAGCAAATATAGTATGGTGTCCATATATTTCATGTTCTACGTCGAGAAGGATTTTCATGTTTGAGTCACATAGTTGTTGCCTCATTGAGTCACCAGAGAATGGGGATGAAGTGAGTAACAGTAATCATAGAAAAACTTACATGTAATGATGGAGATTCAACTTCCCTGAAAGATATAATAAAGCATCATGTCAGAGAGCAGTGACGTTTTTATTAAAGGAACTCCCGGATATTTTTCAGTAAACAACCAACAAGGTTATAAAACTGTCTCTCTCCTCTTACAGTTCTATTAACGCGAACAGGGAAAATGAGAGATTGTCAAGCGATATTTCTTTACATTATCATTCCTTTGAATGACTTTATCTGCCAAGGAAAATGTATCTGCATAAGATTTCTCAGATAAAAGTAGATGCAAGTCCCTTGCTTTTAAGAATCGGAGGGGTTTTAAAAATGTAACATGTTCCAAAGAATGGATGGCAATAAAGAAATAAGCAATTTTCTGCAACTTAACCAATTCAACAGAAGTTGGAATTGCTTTAACCTGGTCAGTCTAATTCCTCAAAGTAGTTCGAGAGAAAAACTTCAACAAGAAACTTACTCTGAGAGTGAGGAGGCTGTTATCATCTTGGTTGTAAAAAAGCTCGAATACCAAAGAAATAAAGTCCAAGAAAAGAATAAACTGGGTAAAAAAATTGCCAATATCAGAGAATACTATTCCAACGACGTAGTTAAATTGTTGTGAAGAATTTTGTTTCAGCATTAAACAACTAAAAATTCAAAGAACATAGTTTTAACAGTTTCACAGTCAAAGTACCCCCAAGAAATGTCAAAATGAAATCAACACCATCAAAAGAGAGATATAGCTTACTCAGGTGATGACCCAACTCTTGTGAATCCGGCAAATGGACACCATTGAGCTCTAAACTGCTGCTAAAAAAAAGGTACTAAGTGTGATCAAAAGGGTATCACATGACCACATTGCGAAAAAGAATTGCCAACACTTTTAGTTGCTGAAAAAAAAGAGGATTCAAAGGAGAAAAACATGTTGCACCCATATAACAAGTTCTGTAATGGAAATAAACAGAAAGAAGAAAATCGAACACCGAATTTTTTGAACTTTTCTTTCTATGAAAACTGTAGCATAAGGATGACATATATCATATGTCGTCATAATCTATATCGAACTAAAAGACTATGATTTGAGGCATCATTAGGCACATGTCAAGATTTTGAAAACATAATATCACATCAAGTTAAAAAAGAAGCTAGTGCTTTTAACATAATTATAAACAACGATACCCCGAGACAGAAAATATAGGAATTCATTATATACTATTTAAGAATAAACTGGATCATAATAATCCTCCTCAAGAGTCCATTCCTCCATGGTTAGCTCAAGAAGTGATCGAGAGGAGCCATTTGCATACAGCCACAGACCTTTTTCAACCTTCCGGCAATTCGGGCATTGCATAGCCCCCTTCATAAGCAGGAAATCATCCAAACCAATAATGACAGAATGAAGGCATATGTCGAACAAAAAACAACATGGCACAAAGCAACACAGAAAAAGCATGGTTCAAGCTGAAAAGGGCAATGCATGAAGTGTACTTCATCTAAAAACCACCTTGTTCTTCATCCCTTAGTTTACCAGGCAAACTTAAGATACGCATGCCTTAAAGGTTACAGATCCACTTGAATGTCAAAGAATCCGTATATCAACATGAATAAGATTATCCAGCTAGACTTCTATCATAACAATTTCACTGATAAAAACAAAGAACTTGAAAAATAACTTTTTACCCAAAAAACCAGAATAATTAAGGAAAAAAATGAAAAATATCTAGATGGAATTGATGGCCACATTGAAGCTTATCCCAGGATCTGGCGCCCGTATCAGAGACTAAATCGAGGCAAATCGAGCACGAGACTTCAGAAGCCAGAGGTACAGCAGCATCTTCATCACGACCGTCCATCAATTGATGATGAGGAGGATCAAGCTGAGCTGACCATCTACTTGTTCCACCGATCAAAAAGGATAGAGAAGAAAGAAACAGGTTTGAGTTTGGAAATTTCTTTTGCTTTCTTTGTTTTTGGGGGTGTTTGGATGCGGAGAAATCTATCCGATGTTTATGTGTCGGACCTGTCAGACTACTTGGATGGGACTTTCAACAGTTTTATTCGGACTTTTGTCTTTTAATGTATTTTCCAAAGTAAAAATAAAAAGATAAAAATGCATTAGAGGTCCTTTTACTTTTGATAAAAAACTAACGTAGCCCTCATATTATTTTCTCTTTCAATTTGATCTTCCAACTCAGAAAACAAATCTAATATGACCCTTTGACCAATATTTTTCGTCGTTGACCGTTATGGTATTGACGTGAGAGTTCATTGTACTGACATTGCAATACACGGTGCTGACGTGACAGTCCATATGATTGATAACATGACAGATGACATTTTGAGTACGAGTCGAGTTTGATAATTTTAAGCTTGTGACTTTTTAATTTGAGTCAAGCTCAATTTTATACTTTTCGAGTCGAGTTAAACTTAATAATACTCAAACTTGACTCATTTCAAACCCTAATTAGGAACAACTCCATTGTAACCCCCTTTGACCGATGCGGGTGACCCAATCCGATCCGGGGTTTCACATTAGGGCCACCGGAGCAACCTACCGTAAAAATCTCAGAAAAATTTCATTTTTTTGGGTTAAAACATGTAAAAACATAAAATCAATTTATAAATACAAAAGTAAAAAAATGCAGTATTCAGAAATAAAACATATTTTCAGACTCGGATATAAAACAAAATACAGCATACATACCCCCTAATCACATGCACCATACTCCGTAAGCAATTCCGGTGAAACTCCTTTACTTAAGTTGATAGCTGCACAAGTACGATTCTTTTAACCTGAAATGGTGAGTAACAGAGTGAGCTTTGAAAAGCTCTGTAATACAATACTACCAGGTGATGATACATGGCATGCAGATAGATGTAGAATAATAAATTTTTCTTATTGAATCAGACGTATACTAATTTTCGGGATAAGCTGGGGTTCCACTGGTAGTTCACGAGTATAAGTCATGAAGATCTCAGTTCATAGGAAACATTCATGGTATCAAGTTTTTAGGAGATTGAATAGGATGTCTAGTGTGTTCCAATAAAAACCAGTGAAAATATATAAATCTTTTAAAATCATATTGGAACTCTCCAACCAAACTCCATTATGCAGTTCCCCAGAACTGCATCCATAAGGGCTAAGCACACAACAAAGGGACCCAACCTAAGGGTATACCTTGGGGCCTATGGGCCTCCCAAGAGTATCCTTAGGTCCGTAAGGATTTACCAGCTGGATCAGGACTGTACCTCCATACTCCAAAATCCTACCTATATAAAAATCCAGTAGAAATCAGTTTTAACCGTAACCAGTAATATCTGGATCATGATCCAGTAATATCTCATAACTGTGATAATGAAATAAACCATATAACTGATCTCCACCTATACACCATAGTAGTCCTATGATTAACCCAAGGGAGTGCCTTGGGGCCTGAGAGCCTACCCAAGGGTCACCTTAGGTCCGTAAGGATTTACCATCTTGATCAGATTTGTACCTCCATACTCCAGACTACTCAGATAATGTCCCAATAAAACAGTTCAAGTAACAACCAGTGAAAATAGGAAACCATAGTTCATAACTCAGTAAATTCCATGATTCCATAAATGATGAACAATTCATATTTTCCAGTGAAAGTCGTAATCATAGAACACATACCATGTTGTCATGGTTCATAAACTAGTAAAAAAATAATTTCATTAAAACTCATTTCAAAACATATAAAACTGTCATGTAGTACATGTGGAACACACTAGAGTTGATACTTTAGAGTTGATACTTTAGAATCTTGCTATGATCCAGATGCATTAGGAATGTGTTCAGGAACCTTTATACTGAATAAATTCTAGAATCATATTTATGGAGAGTGATTCTATTACTCAAACAATATGGGGTATTCAGGATTTTATATTGAATTGTCAGGATTTTAAGTCCAATGAACCAAATGAGGTATTCAGTGTCCTTGCATCTGAGTTACTTGTTTGATAAGATATAATCAGAGTGATTTGAACTGATAAGGGAGAAATGAAGGTTCAGGATATTTACAATCTGTGTCGATATAACGGATTATCGAAATAACTGAAGCTGAACAACTCCCAGAACTAATCCACGTCGAACGGTCCATTTAATGCCCTTCCAAGATATTTACTCTTTAATACCAATAATTCTTGCCCGTTGATCACCTTCAGAATCATCGTTGAATAGATTTTAAGGAGACGAATAAATATTCCAATGGTATTTATTTCATTCTCACGTTACAACACTATCAGGAAAATGACAACATACTTGATTCATGGTTCACAACCCATGGGGACAGTACATCATGTAAGCTCATCAGTGTTTCCAGATATATCCAAGTCACTCACTTAATCCTAAGTCATTGAAGTTACTTAGGTCATTTAGTATTCGAGGTTGATTTGTTCATTTCAGAGTTAAGGGTATTAGTTATTCTAAGGTTTAGAGGTACTTTAGGTCATTTTACATTTTAGGGCCATTTTGGTCATTTTACACTTCAAGGGTAATTTTATAATTCCAGTATATATCCGAAATTTAATTTAATGATTCTAGAGCTTAAGTGTTTCAAGATGTGAGTTCTCAAGTCGTCTCCATAATGTAACCATCTATTGTGCTTAACACCTTAAGCGTATCATCGCCATTTCATTCAAATATGTCAGTGGCATACTTTCGATAATTTAGGCTTGGATGAATTCTAGTTCTTTAGCGCTCATAGTATTTTGTTCCTTTGATCATTGCAGGTTATTACCGATATTACGAAGTTCGAGGATATTTCAGTAATTACTTTAAAGTCGATAAAATGCAGTTTTTCTGATAATTAGTCAAGTTATCCTTTCAGAGTTATGATTCTCCATCTGGAGAAGTCTTGGTCTTATTCCATTACAAGGACATTTTCGTAATTTGATCTCATTTTTCTCTTTTCAGTAATTCCAAATCTAGTTAATCCCGGTGTTTAACCTTTTAAAGAAAATTTATCAAACTTCACAAATCTTAAAGTCAAATCATTTATTTTTCTGATTGATCTTCCTTTTTCTTAAGCGAGTCATATAAGTCATATTCGGTTACCGACTTTTTTATAATATTAGGATCGAGTTTAGGAAGTGATCACTACATACATGTGACCAATTATACACATCCACGTAGAAACCAGTACCAACATGTTCCACAAAGCATAAAACAAGTAGTAATGTAATGCCTAAATTTTTGTGCCATACCGGTCGACCATTTAAACTCCATTTGATCACCCTCGAACTTGAATTCAACATCCAATAATTCCTCAAATACAAAGCAACTAAATTTACGTCAGAAACTGAACTTAATTGAGAAACTAACTTGAATCCGAAGGTAAAACATGGAAAAACGATTTATCGGGTGAGAATTTGGCAAAACGAACTAATCTAAACTATCAAAACTAAGTTGAATACTAAAATCGGAGGACAAAATTAGAATATTACCGAAAATGGAAGACTGAAACTATGATTTGACCATCTCCCTTTCTAAAAACCACGTGACCTTTGAAGTAAAATTTGAAACAACTATGACATAATCATAACAATTTGGAAGTTATAAAACAAGCTTAAGCTTTTACCAAAGTTGGATGACTTACCTTGAAATTTTCTCATTCTCATTTTGTTAAAAATCTCCAAAACCACGTGCACCTGAACCAATCTTTATTTCCCAATTTATTTTATTTGTTCTAAATTCTCCCAGCCGAAAGCTCTGTAGGAAGACAAATAAGTTTCATTGGCCATTACTCAAACGCCGGTGACCATCGAGTCGGCCATCGTTGACGGTCGCCAACCAAGACCCATGTTACATTGTTCGAAGTACCTTAGTCTCCTCTCCATGAATCTGTCCTCTGTTCGTCGAGAAACTCCATGGATGGTCGTGGATCTACCGAAAAATGTTTAGCTTTATGGAAATAAAAGTCTTTCACTCACCGTCAACAACCATATGATGAAGCCATGTTTATAATATATTGATCCTTACTACCATACTACTCTTCCCACGACACGGATCTTCCAACCAACATCGGAATCATCGGGAATCAAAAAGACTTACCCCCATGAACTTTTGTATTTAATTTCTTGTTGATTTTTGTTGTCTAAATGTTATTCCTTGGTCGTTTGGTTACAGGTTGAGCAAAAGATGAGGTTACTCGCTGCCAAGAAAATGAAGGAAACTGCAGAAGATGTGGCTTTTGCAGAGATAAAAAATCTTTCATACGAGGAGACTTCAATGGGCCTTCATGTGAAAAAGGCTTCAAAGAGTAGAATGCCTTAATGTGCAAGGCTCAAAACATCGAGGAACTTTCTAATAAGATCAAATTGGTTGATGAACCGAATGTTTCCAAAATAGAAATCTTGAAGAAAGTAGAGGAGGACACAGAGGAAATCAAAACCAGTAACATGGCCTTGGAAGAAGCATTGAACAACATACAAGGGCAATGTGACTGTTGAGGAGGCTCTTCGGAAGTGGAGATCCGAGCATGATCAGAAACGACATTCTGTACACAACTCTACCAAGTCTAAGAATTCTTGCTCATCTCACAAAGATTCTGTTTTATGTAAATGGATTGAATATGGTTTTGAAGCCAACCCTGTCCAAATACTTAGCCTGAAAATTGGAAAATTTTGAAGATAATTGATTTTGAATTGCATGCCAAACAACGGTGGAAAAAAATTCACAATGACAAATAGTAAATGAATACAATAATAAAGTTCACATCAGACAAAAGATAGAGAATCACGTGAATTCTAGAATCCCTTAAACCCAAATAGGGGTAAATTTACACATAAAGTCCCTTAATTCCTCTAAACATTTCTAGTTAATCCAACATTAAAATTATATTGATACTTTAAACCCCAAATTCAACTAAAAAAACTAACCCCCACAAATTGGGGTGTCACAACTCTCCTCCCCTTAAAAGAATTTCGTCCACGAAATTCACTCAAGTCACAGAAATTTAGAAATGAAGCTTTTAGCAATTCTTTAATATCTTCAGGTAGCTTT